TTTGAAAAACTCACTGATAATCTTCAACAAATTGCTTTGATTTAGCACTTACACTTTGAACTTTCGGCATTCTTCGAAGTTGTACATCGCTTACATAAAATGACAAAATGTTACATCGATATATTATATTATATATTTATATCGTTGTATCGATGTTATTTGTTGGTATACACGGCAAACACGAGTCATGTATTATTGAAAACTTATGAAGTTATGAACAACCACAGTACACAAGACTATACCTATCAGTATATACCTATTAAGATAAAATATTAAATACCTGCATATCAGTTTATAAATAGTATATTTATATTTTAGAAAGCCGCTCTTCACTACGAGGTTTACGCGAAATTTAGTAAAATAGTACGTTATGACTTTATAAGTATAATAATATAAAGTCTACCCTTGAAAAACCTCTGATTTTGTTGGGTACTACCTGTCTACCGTGGATCACCTGGCCGACTTACCTATCCACCTGATCCGACACTGCATGATTTGTTTCCCCCCCGGGACCGTTTACACCGAACAAACTGGATCCGAGACGTTATCGTCGAGGTTGATACTGCAGCAGTCCTGATAAAACGTACGATCGTTTATTCACCGCTACATAGGTAACATAATATTAGAAAACAATATGGTACACGTATGCAATTTAATAATAATAAAAAAAAACGTATTATTGCACGAATAGGAGGATTAATATAATGTTACAATATAAAATCTAATATAAATTATGACCACTACCTCGTCGGACGGCGGGCACCAATGATCAGCGCGAGCAGCGACCGACTGACTGCATCGTAGATCATATTATATTTGGCAATAATGTAAGTACAGGTATTATGAGCCCGCAGGGTAGGCACATACTATTATTATACAGTTATTGTCACGCGTTACAAAATGTAATATATTTCATATATTCGGATTCGAGCTAGTCACGTTGCACAGTGGCGTGTGGCGGTTGGTCACGTTGCCATCGGCGTGGAGACCGTAGTCCGTCTGTGTCAATAATAATAATATATTATTGAAATACTATATATAAATTACTATATTTACTATTACGACGTCACGTGCATTCGTGGCGCATCTCGTATACTGCAGTGGCGTACTGGCGCGGCCTGGTGAAGTGAAATATTTTTTCGGGAAATTAATTTTCTAATGACCTACCATCAGTGGCCTAGCTATTTTTTTTAGTGCATTCAAACTGGAATTAACCGGTGTAAGTTTCATAGTTAAATTAATTTTTACTGAACATTGATTCAATGGAGTTGAAACTTCATTATGGTAGGTACCTAAAAGTCATGAAAGTGGATTAAATCAACAGCCTTGTTGATAAATTACTAACAATTGGAATTTAATTTTCCTTATAATATATAGGTACTAACTAGCCTAATATTTATCGCACGTAACAGTATATTATAACTATACATAGGTAAGTCAAAATAAAAAAAAGCTTTGATATAAGTAGTCTATACTATCTGGATTTCTTCCTATTGGGTCTAATGTGATTAAATATATTTTATTGTGTTTAATTCGATTTATGTAATTGTATACAATTTAATAAATGCTATGGTTAGTTTTAAAAACATGCCCATGCTCCAGATTGTGCTAATCCCTAATATGAAGACAAAAATAATATTGTATCTATCATAAAAGACACTTTTCCGAATTCAGATTCTATATTGCGCCTGTTTTACTGATTTTAATTGTAGTTATCCGTAGGAGAGTGGAGGCTTTAGGGGGGGTCAGCAGTGGCGAACTCAGCCCTATTTGGCTTATGTCATGACTATACCATAATTTTAACATTGTACCTATTATAAATTTAAAAAGCGGTTAAGTGAATGTCGCTCTGCTGTACAGTAGGTTACAAGTGGGTCATTGTATAATGGATTGTATTAAACTTGAATTCAATGATGTAATATCATTGTATAAGAAAAACGATTCTGAGCGGAGTCGGTTTGTCAGTCTGGATATTTTATATTGTTATTATAGTTATTATTTCATGTAAGTTGAATTAATATTAAAATATTATTATAGTTTATTATTATATCATGTAAGTTGAATTAATATTAAAATATTATTATTTTTTATTTGTTTCTATGGTAATAAACACAAAGCGTTAGAAATTAAAATCCAATTTTAAGCGGTTTTTCGTAATTTTTAGGTGGTTTTCACCGTGGCATTAAATAACTATTGATAAAATCGAAAAATGACCTCTTTAAAGTACCATCTTGATCCAATTTTCTAAAAGATAAGGTACTATATGTTGAAATCGAAGAACTCCTTCTGGTAGAAATTTTGTATACATGATATAAAAATAAAAAAAATAAAAAATAAACACCATTGCAAAACCACTAGCTTCCTTGCTCCGCTCAGAATCTAAAAAAGCTAAAAAGGTTTTTTTAATTTAACTATAATTATAAATTTTATTTTATTTTAATTTATATAATTTACAATAATAATATTAACTAGGTTACTACGGTTTCACCTGATGTATATATATACACGGTTATCATAGTTGTATTTTAAAGGTCAACCAAATCCTCATTCAGAATATACCTAGTTTATCCCTTGTACGTCTAGCCGTTGTCAAGAAATGGCGCAGACAAACATCCGGACAAACAGGCACTGTTCGAAGTTAAATAAACCTTTAAAAACGGACACAGTTACATGAGAAAAGATATGACTATATCACACAATAATACCATGTTAAGTAGATCGGGCGACAGAATAACCAATAATTATGTAATATGAATAAAATAAACAGAACATTATGAAAAACTAATAATAAAGGTCCGTGCAGAACAATCTCACAAAATATAATTAAGACTTATCGCATCGTCGTCTTTGTTCTCGTCGATTGTATTATATTATACTGTAGTTTCCCAGGAGTAACAAGTATTTAGTTAATTTTTGTTTTTTACAAATCAAATATAACAACCTATATTATTTTGGTCGATGTCAGTAGTGCTGTGTTGGATAGTAACATAATATAAACGTAGATACATATTACACGTTAAACTGTAATTAAATTATTATTTTAAAAAGTTATTCCATTAACAGTAGGTATAACTCTCCTGTAAAAGGGTTAACATTGTCACACCTGGGTCGCTTCGTTGGCCTTTTTACGATACGTATTATAATTTGTATTAAACGTATAAGCATTTTTAAATTAATTTACATGTAATGATACGCTCAGTTACACGCTAATAAGTCATAACGATAACTTATATAATAATTAAAATATCATAAAATAGCCAATGAAGTGACACAGGTTAACCTAATTTATTTAGAATAATATGAAAAGTAACAACATAGGGTTGGTTCTGGTAATCGCACGTTTAGTATGTTATGCACTTATGCGTGATTCAAATAGGGAAAACAAATAGTACAATGACATATTGACATCCCAACCGGCAAGTGGCAACCGATCTTTTTATTAAATCTCATAAGTATATAGGTTGTAAACCTATCAACTTGGTAGTTTCAGCCAAAAAGTCGAGAGGACTTTGCAATTCAAGATCCCTTTCTTTGTTACCTACCCTAACTATTCTACCTTCCCACTTCTTCTTCTTCCTTCTCTCACAACTATACAGGTTCAGCCACTCTCTTCCCACACATCCATTCACTTGGTCAATAATTAAAAAACTTCAATAAAATGTTTCACCTAATTTTTTTCTACTATACTTCTTCTGACTTTAAGACAAATCTTTTTTTTAAACACCTTACACAATTGTTTAAAAATAAATTCAATAAAAAGACGTCCACCGTCCATGTCACCATGATGCGTTCATGCCCTGTTTATTTATGTAATTTATTAAGAATATCATATATTTCATCATTATATACATAATATACTTTAACTTCATTATTTTCTGTCCTATATATGGCTATATGTCTCTAATGGAAAAATTCATTCATTAACTTATTAGGTATCTACTTTAGCAATGCTGTAGTGATTCAAATGTCTACGTCTGTTAGTGTCTAATGATTTCTTATTTTTTCAATATTTAGCTTGTATAACAGCCCATAAAATTGTGTGAAGTACGAAAATTGGTGTGTGTAGTACGAAATTTAGAAGTGTGTTATTCAAATTAAACCTTTATAATATTATTTATAATTTTCTAGCTTCACATTTTTTTTAATATCTTATTATTTTTTTATGTCAAACTACATTGATCATTGGTCAATTGATAATTTGGAATCATTTTTTACTCATAATAGCTTTTACCGCAGGCCCGGATGTTCTACTTTATTGACGCTGTTCCTTTGATTGTCGACCAACCGCGCTAGTATACCAAAAATAATAATTTAATTAAAATTAAAAAGTAAATACTAGGTAGTAGGTACCTAACCTATTGAGGGTAATCCTGGTCCCTGGATACGCCACAAACAATAGTATACTATTGTAGATTATAATAATACATAATATTATATACTGTAGATTTTAGAGAAATTACTATTAGAATACAGTAAGAGTATTAAGCTATTCATAACTAGCAGTAAAACTATTTAATTGTATAATTATAGTCTGTAGTAGTAAAACTGTAAAAGTATTAGTATACGTCATTATATAGTAGTGAAACTGTTAAAAATTATAGTTATAGTAGCAAACTATATTGACATTTTCTTCTAATAGTTTGTCAAAATGACAATTAGTAAAATGTCAGTAGTTTTTTAGTAGTAATTTTTTACTGAGGGAATTATTACAATGGACAATCTTGTTAAATTAAAAAGTAAAAAAAAAAATAACTCAACTATAGTGTAAATGTTAGTACCCATCTTTATTATATTTTTCTATGTACATAAAATCATTATATTGCATTAAAATAAATTGTGATCAAATAAAATTTGAAAATTAATAACTAATATAATACATAAATAGGTAGGTATAAAATATTAAAAAATCAGAGTCATTTAATTTTTTAATAATTTCTTTTTGTTTGAAATTTTTGCTTTGGATATTGTCGCATTACAAAACATGGAGGATGAAATATATATTAGGAGGTTGTAATTGTTTTTAATTTTTCTTCTTTTATCCTCATCAATACTAGTATGACAAACAAGCACGCTGAAAAATTGAATAAAAATTATTTTCATATACTTGATATAATATTGTGCACGATTAAAATAAAATATATTATTAGTTTTCTTACAAAAATTAAACATAGCTAATGTCAAATACGGCAACTCGCAAGTGATCCTATCTAAAACAGGTATGATTAAATTTCCGAAAACAACTCCAATTCTACCGAACATTATGACCATATTAACCGCCATACCTCTGAAAAAAATAATTATATTTGATATTTATTACATTTTATATTTTACAAAAGTAATACTTACACTAGACCGTTTTGCGCTAGGGGTCTTTTTAAACATTAATCTAATGGAGTTTCACTTAAATATATCTGAAGGTAATAGTGTTACCTATTTATTGTTGACTATTTACCAAACACGTATATTATGACGTAGGTAGGTACCTATATATTGTCATATTTATTATAGTTAAGAGTTATACTTAGGCTAGGGACGCTCCGTGCTTTAAAAAACATATCGAAATATTATTTTATGACCATTATAATTTTTTCATGTATATTAATTTCAGTATGGTTTTTCTTATTTTAAAGGATTTTTTATTGTAAAATTTGGGTAAATGTCACATGTGTTAAATACAATTAATTGCATGTGATCACTAAAATGACGAAATATATGATATATAATTAATATTATATTTTAATAACATTTTTACGAAGAAAGTAATCTGTTACTGTAACTAAATCTACTCTTGATATATTAAAGTTTCTTCATTAAGTTTGATAACATTTAATTGCTGGACGAATGATTTTTTACATACATTGCAATGCGCATATTATAAAGAATCAATAACATTGGGTACTTGCAAAATTAATTGTCATCATAAAAGCGGATATTTTATAAGTGTTCTGAATTTAAATACCAACTTAAATGTATATGTATAATTTACATATATATTATATTATACATCATAATGGACGAAATAAATTATTTAATTCAACGTTTACCTTAGTGTGGTAGGAACAGCCGAAGCCATAATACTAATTACAAGCGTCGTATTGATGTTCATTATGCCCACGTAAATAGCTGATAAGATTAAGGTGACGATTCCATTTGTCCATGGAAATATTGAAATACCAAGTCCACCCAGAATTGAAAAAAATACTGAAAGTAAATTTTAAAATGTACATTATTAAATAATAAATAGGAACATTTACATTTAATTATAATTATTATTGCAAAAAATAACTCATTGACTACTTATTATTTAGTAATCTATCTATCTATCTATCTATATATATATATATATATAAAAGACAAAAAATGTTTGCGATGGACTGTGTCATTCATGCATTCCTAAACCGTTCATTCGATTGCGATGAAATTTGCTACAGAGATAGATTAGACCTCGGAGAAGAAGACAAGCTAAATTTTGTCCCGAAAAAAAGGTAAATAAGAGGTCTAACATAAATGTATGATATCGGTTTTATTTAGTTTTAATAATAATAATTATTATTATCAATGCGAAAAGCCTGTGTATTTTAGTACGCAAAATGTACCGAGTTCGAACCACGATTTCGGTGAACCAATTTTTTTGAATTATAGATACTTTAAGAGTTAAATACACTTACGTACCCATCACTCGAGGTCCGCAATCTACTGTTAACAAAAACCTACCGATAGCAACTTATTGTAGTGTCTGCTAGTTTATTATAATAATTTATAATGAAATATTATAAAAAAATCGTTTGTAATGATCTAATGCAATATTTAGAATACATTTAGTTCTGTATAATAATAATATTTAGTACATATATAACATACTGTATATCACTTACTATATATATAATTTTTATCCATGTATTTTGTAATGAATATGGCGACCCAAAACATACCAAAAACTGCTGATCCAACAATCATAGATTTGATATAGATTTCTGGATCGACTAGAGCGAGAGTCTAAAATATTGAATATTTTTTGTATTTAATGATAAAAAATAAAACAAATTTCAATTGCAGTAGGTACTTACCCCTCTACATGCTGCAGTGTAAGTAACATTAGTTGAAGTCCTGGATTCGCATACTGTACGGTCGCCTTTGGCTGCAATAATTGTTGCGTACATATTTGGCAGTCTTAATCGAAAGGTGTTCAATCTACGTATTGTATCGAATCGAGGCGTTAGTAAGCGATATTTGTTAATATAAAATAAATTCATCCAACAACCAAAACCTTAAATTATACCCATTACAATTCCGAGAACCAGCGGGTTCAAATAGAGTACAAGATACAAGGATTTTGAATGCGTATCGTAAATAAATATGATGTTATAGTTTATAAACTATAATATTGTATAGTAAACTAATTATTGGGAACGAGGGGAACTTAAAAAAGTGAAAAATCACCTAGGTTTTATTATTGAAGTAACTACTTATATAAATTGTTTGATAAAATAATTTTGATATTTAATAAGCTAATTCTAATAATTTGAATATGAAATATTCATATATTATCCAAACATTTTAAACTCACGTTAACATTGTCATGAATAGCAACAAGAATGTCAATGATGACGGGACTAAATATGGTTGCAGAAAAAAAGGTTTTATTTGGATCCATCCTTTTCTTATAAACTTTGAAATAGTTATTGATGGCATAGATTTCAAGGTTTGATCTTCTGATATTTCTGATCTTAAAATGCTAATCTAAATAATATCATATTTATATTTAAATGATTTGATAACATACAGATTAATTAATTAATATTTTTAAATTTGTGTAAATTACGGCATGTAGAATACTTACGGGATACGATTCCGGTGGATTGCCTGTATTTTGTGAATATATTTTTCGAAACACATGTAGAGCTTCTTTATGGCGACCGACTGCCATTAGGAACTTTGGACTTTCGTCCATAGAATAAACTAAGAATGCTGCTAGGAATACCATGACTGAACAAGTCATCAGGAATACTCTCCAATTATCAATAATCAGATATCCATTCAAAAATTGAAAATTTATATCCATTGGAATCAAAAAATATGCTACAACTATACAAACAATAATTGCTTATTAGTGAATAAATTTTGTTGTGAGAAAAAAGTAAAAAAAAATTAAATAAAGAAAAAACACGTACGCGGTTGTAAAACAAAAGCGAACGACGAAAATCCTCCTGCGTACAATACGATTTTATCTCGATGTTCTTTATCATAGAATTCAGACAAAAAAGTAAATGCAAGAGAATATGGACCACATGTTCTGAAAAATTATTTGATGCATTTAATCAGTAGCGTAGCCAGGATTTTACTAGAGAAGGGCTGATAATTTGTTACCTACATAGAGGGACCTTAACTAAGATCCATCATAATTTTGGATGCTGATGCCAGTGGGTGATGGGTATATATAACATGTTTGTAAAAACTTTCATAAAAACTACAATCTTAATACATGGTTAAGTATTAGTGTATTATTTCACAGTAAACTGCAAGCTAAAAGTACTAATTTTCTTGAAATTGTGGGGTGGGTTGCAGTCCCCTTAACATCTCTGGCTACACCGATGAATTTAATATTATAGTTTAGTGCGGGGATAGACAAGTTACCTACCCATTTTAGCTGGCTCAAGCTGCGAAAAAAGTCATTAAAAAGACAATGCAGGACGTGTGACTTTAAAATGACAAAAAGTAGCACCTTAAGAAGTTTGAGTTGCCCATCTCTTCAAGTATAATTTGTGTTGTGTAAATTCATATAATTCCTTTGATAAAATGAGCAAATAAATAATAATATGTAATACTCACGCGACTCCACAGAAGAACTTAAGAACAACCAACACCCAAAATCTTTGAACGAGCCCCGAAAGAAACTCCATGACTCCACTCAACAGTATGCCATAGAATAATAATTTTTGTCTTCCCAGCGTATCGATGAGAAAACCCCATACAAAAGCACTCGAAACCATACCTGCGAAAAAAATCACTACAGTGTCAACAATACATGTTTATAATATTACATTATACAGTATAAGTACACTGTACATAGTCCGACATGGTATAATACGATGTATCAGTAACGACAGATCTCCACGTTAATGCACCACATTAAGACTGTACAAGGAATATTATGGTGCTGATATTTGAGAACTTGCCTACGTAAACAGCTCCGAACAGCGAGCCCTCTTCCAAAGGTGTCAAATCGAAGTAACATCTTACCGCCGGCAATATAAACGACGGTGAACTGGTGCAGAACAACGAAGTCAGTGTTAAAGGTATGTACAACACGAGCATTCTTTTATTGTAAATGCCATAACCTAAAATGCAACCGTTGACAAAAACCGTTAAGATTAATTACCAATAGGTTAGGTTAGTGCACTATAGAGACTATTTATGCTACTCCGCCATTTTGCGACTAATAATGTTATGTGAATATGAATTTTCCCCCTTTTATTTTATCATTTTATCATTGACAAATGAATCACAAAATGGTGGCATAGCGATAGCATGCCCATTTTATGTAGAACCTTAGTTAGGTAAGGTAGGTAGGTACTTATACTTATACTTATACATATTAAAGAGTGTTACCCGTTTCTGTCAAAATTATATTGGCAGTTTCCGCCAAAGCACATTTCCACCAAAAACGAAAAAGATCCTTAGATACCTACGTTTCCCATTTCCGCCAAAAATAGTTTGGTAATCAATGATCATAAGTCTAACTAAGGGGGTACTAGGGGGTACTATAGGCTATAGCACTTCAACATTCAATTTAGCACACCCAACTCCTGTCTATTTACGATTTAAAATTATAAAAAGAAAGTATTACATATTTTAGATTCTGAGCGGAGAGAGGTAGCTAGTGGTTTTACAATGGTGTTTATTTTTTATTTTTTTATTCTTTTTATATCCTGTATACAAAATGTCTACTAGAAGGAGTGCTTCGATTTCAACATATACCAGTACCTTATCTTTTAGCAAATTGGATCAAGATGGTACTTTAGAGAGGTCATTTTTCGATTTTATCAACGGTTATTTAATGCCACGGAAAAAACCACCGATTAATTACGAAAAACCGCTAACAATGGGATTTTAATTTCTAACGCTTTGTTTATCACCATAGAAACGAATACAATAAAAAATATCCAGACTGACAAACCGTCTCCGCTCAGAATCGTTTTTCTTATACAATGATATCATATCATTGAATTCAAGTTTAGTACAATCCATTGTACAATGACCCACCTGTAACCTACTGTACAGTAGAGCGACATCCACTTACCCACTTTTTTTTATTTCTAATTTATCAGTTTACGTTTACTTATCATATCTTGAATTCCACTCGTATCATATATTGAGAAGAATCACGTTTTTTATGTGTTATTACTTATTAGTTATTACATTTACATATTTTAATATCACATAGACTCATTTGAAAATATAAGATCAGCCTCAGAGGTAGAGTTTTTTTTCGTAGTTACGGTACAATTTTTTGAAAAAATTAAATTTCATTAGAAGCTACTCAGGTAAATTAGATCCTTTATTATTTATTATTAAGTTTATTGGTACCGTGATTTTCTGTGTTTGTCTAACACATGCGCAACATAGTATTTTAGACGTGTTTTTTGCCAAACATATCAATATTGATATAATGTGTATGAAACGATAAGAATTCTGAATACAGATTTGAATTGGTCGTCAAGTCTACTTGAAATTGACTTTATCACACTTTTGATATTATCCTTCAAATTTCTAAAAATGTCATATTAAAAAAGAGTATTTATAAATAGTCGTATTTCAATTTTTGGAGAAGTTAAAATCAAAAAATCAAAAATATGGGTAAGTCGATTTCAAGTAGACTTGACGACAAATTCAAATATGTATTTAGAATTCTTATCGCTTCAATATATAAATTGGTATGTTTGGCAAAGAACCCGTCTAATATCCTATGTCGAGCGTGTGTTAGACAAAAACAGAAAATCACGGTATAGAATACCCTTAAAGCAAACAATTTAACAGTGACATTTCTTAAGCATTCGAACGAAAAAAATAACTCAACCAAGTAATTAAATATATTTTTATAATTGAAGAAATCAGAAAACTACCTAGTTAATAATATTTAAAAAAAAAACAATCAAATTCAATAAAATTGAATCTTATTGAAGACGTATTGTACAGTTGTATAGTGTATACACTATATTATATAGATACAGCGATAATTGTCGATAACGGAAATATAAACTACATTGCAGCCATCAAGATATTTGTCAAATAAATAGAAAAATAATATTAGATGATTATTCAACTATTAAACTATAATAGCACTTATTCAATGTCGTTAATTTTCAACTGATGAATCTATGATAATTTATGTGATTTTTTAAAACTATAATTGAATTGTATTATTAACTTGGATATTATTGTTACATGTACCTACCTACTATATTTTTTATGACATTTTAAAATATTTAAATATAATGGATAATGGATATAATGATTATAATACGCAATTATTCTGACATTAGTGTACAGATATGTTTGTTACGTTTGTACATGGTTCCCAAATAATATTTGGCGAAATGTCTTTTCACTAAAATAGATTTTTGTGGAAGTGGGAATCATATTTTTTGTTTTTGGCAGAAATGGACTATCCATGGAACCGGGTTTTTGGTGGAAAAAGGTCATGTTCTATTAAAAATATCGGTTTGGCTAATTAGTGCAATGATTTTTTTTAACCATTTTTTCTTAAGAGTTTATTCAAGTCCTGGGTTTTGACATTTTTCAATATAATATTTTAAAAAAATATTTTGAAATTCGCCCTTTTAATTTTTAAATTTTATTTTTTATACCTACCTACCTAACCTATTGTGGCAACAAAAATGATTAGTTTATTGTTTTTTAAATGATTTTTCTTATTTTGCTACGAATTGTTAAGTCAATATATTCAAAAATTTAATTTGTATATTCTCCTTAGTACCTACGTAATGTATGAAGTATAATAACTCATAAGTTTCCTTATCTTGGTTCATATTATCACTCTGCCCTTTACTAATACTCTTGTTTAAATGTTGAACAATTATAATTAATTAACCGTTTGTTCGTTTTTAAATGTATGAACTAACGTACAAAATTCCAAGAAATTAATTATATTAGATTATTAATAAGTAATAATACTAACTATGGTACCGTAAAAAATTAAAAATTAAATGATATTATTTTCTACAAACGACTGAGAGAAATGGTTGAATAAATTAAAATTAAAAATGTTACTAAAAATGAAAAACCTTAATATTTTTAGTAATCTTCATTGCTGTGTACATCATGTAAATCGTTGCACCTAAACTACAATAATAATATAATATTAATATCTTACCTGTATGGCTAATGGCTGTTTCGAAATCCGCCGGAGTAGGCTCAATTTTATTGATATCATCATTTGTTCCTAAAACCATTAAAACAGCTTAAATATCGTTTTAAATAAAATTATTATACACTTATATTGTTTATTTATTATGAACCCGAAATGGTTTTTACTTGACTTTACTAAGACCAGTATTGTTCTGACTTCTGGAAGACTCTACACGATGTGCTATATATTATATGCAAAATTATACTAATTTGCAAACATAATATCTAGTTAACATTAGGCACACGTCATAGTAAATCAATTATCTTGTAAGAATCTTAGTTTTTTGTTGTACATGTAATTAGGTAATTGCAGGGTCACGTACATAATCATGAAACATTGTTCGGTAATGGTTTTAGTAACCTGTCATTGCTATATGTCTTGTTATATACCATGTAAGTAGGTATATATTCAATTGAAATCCAGTTAAGTATATATATATTAACTGTTTTTGCCTCATTAAATTGTATATTAAAAGAATTAAATTAAATTAAATTACAAATGAATCCATGTACCTATTACCTAAATAACTAAATACCTATACTAATAGTTAATTCATAATGTATCGAATATCTAAATCATATTATATACGTGATGAATTATTTCTATTGAATTACATATTTAGCAACTCTTTAGCTATTATTTTTAGCAGATGGTTCAAAATTAGAAATTAACGGTATGTTTATTTAAGTACACAAGTCATATACCTACATGAAGTATGATAATTTGAAACGCTTTATTTTGTGTAAATATATTTAAATAATATAACTACATAATAAACATACTAGCATGGCTTATGAATAAACATTATAATGAACTATAATTAGCTTATGTAGATACATCCATTTTTCAAAATATGTATTTATTCATGAAACGATTATCCTATATAAAATAAATATTATCATTATTTAAAAATCAGTGGTTTCGGATCAGCATTTGTAAATTTGTAATGTACCAAGATCGTGTATAGCTGTATTTTACATTTTTACCTATGTATAAATTATAATGCACGCTGACAGAGTAGGAACTATAATATAGAAATCAATTTTATGTACTCCTCAAAGCGATAATATTTTTGTAATATCTCTCATAAAATTTTACACGAAATGAAAAGTTTTTAAATTAATTTTATGCAAATAGTTTTGTAAACCGGAACAAACTAATACTAATTTTCTATCATTGAAAAGTTAAATTTTATTGTTTAGACCTCATGTACTGGTCCACTGACCACTATTGAATTAAACATCATGCAAAATATGAACCTGAACAATTTTGAGTAGACATGGCATAATTTCATAAGTATCATATTAATTCGTTCTAAATGTTACAAGCATTTTTAATCTATATAGCAATATAGATATTGCATATATAATTTTTTATAATAATATCTAGCTTTTCCAGTAAGTAGGTAAATAAATACATAATATATCATATATTTGGCTTAAACATTGTACATTAAATGTTTGTTATAACATTTTGTTTAGGTTACAGTATTATAGTTAAGTAGTTAACAAAGTGAACCTCTCTTAAAAGTTAAAATAATACATTGTGTATGGTTAAAACACTCGAAAAGTATTGAATAGAACAAAAAATACCATATTGTCATTACCATTAGTACCTATATAATCAAACATTATAATAATATATGAGTTGAATCTTTAAGCAGTATTTTACTTTACCATACCACATTCAAATCTATTGTTGGTTATCTAAAATTTTAATTTTGTTGATAATGTATACAAATTTAACTAATATTAATAAAATTTAATTAGAAGATTAATTCCTATATGAACCTAATAAATTGTGTAGAATGTTTTACGGACTTAGTAGTAATATGTAGGCGAGGAAAAAGTGGATACCTACCTCTATTATAAGGGAAATGGATAACAGTAACACCATGTTAAAATTTAAAAACAAAATTTGACAAATTTTAGTACAATTTTTTCAGATTTGGATTGACAACTTGGTGTGGTTGACAATTTGTTTGTTGTTTTGTATGTTTAACTATGTATATTAAATAAATTTATATATATAATATAAAATCAATATGAATATAATCGGACAATTTTAATTTCATACTTTTTTTATAGGTAGCTTTTTGGTTCATAGTCTGGTCTGTTGTTATTCTTTTTAGAATATTTTTTTATTTTTAAGTAGTATTCGTACATCCATGACAGTATATAAATACATGTATTCCACCATTAGGTACTTATGTTATCATTTTCCAATTTTCTATGCACGGTTAAATTATTAAAATAACTCAACTAATTTAATACAAATCTATTCACTCCATTCCACGGTACTCCAGTATATTATAAATACTTATAAATAAGTTATACGCGATCTTTTTGCTAAAGATGAAATGTTAAGTGAAATAAGCCTACAGAAAATACTTTTGATAAAATAAATATATAGGTATGATAAACTACTATCATTAGAAATAGATTCCGATCCATCCTTATCCTTCACTAATTTACTCATTGTGGTTTTTTCGTACAGGTAAATCACTGAATTCAAATCTATAAGTAATTTAAGAATTTAACACATCAAGTACAGTAATCTACTATCTACTCGATGACGAGTTATAATATATTCGAAACCTTAAGGGGATGTCAGCGCACCATTTGTTTTCTCTCTCTGGCCCACGCGCAACATAGGTAGGCAAAACGCATTTATGCAGAATCGTTTTTTCTATGTTTGTAAGTAATCTTAGAGTAAAACCACCTAAAACAAAAAAGATAGAGAATAATATTTTTGAGGGAATGACATATTTATTTGTCTAAATATTGTTTCAAAACAATTTAAACATCATTTAAATTCATAAAATTTTTTTGTTTATTTTGAAAGTCGTATACAAAGTCAGATATCAATAAATTATAAAATCGATATGTCATTCCCTCTAAAATATTATTCTCAATCTTTTTTGTAATGGGTGATTTTACTCCAAGATTACTTAAAAACATAGAAAAAACGATTCTGCGTAAATGCGTTTTGCCTATGTTGAGCGTGGGCCAGAGAGAGAAAACAAATAGTGCGCTGACATCAGGCTTTTAAGGTGTATTTATACTATGTACTTCGATCGATAACCGGATGATTTCTACCTCTGTGGTTATAATTCTATGAGAAACCGGACAGTGTCTCCAAAGGGAATGCTTGGATTCCCGGTTTTAAATTAATCAGCTATATTAATTGGCTACATTTAGAAAAATTATGGAGTTAGGACCATAAATTACTAACTACAAAGATATAGAAAACAATATTTAACTTGAAGGAACTGATTACTGATAAAATATAGAAAAATGTGCTTTACCACACTAATTTACTTATGAGATATTAAATGTGTAAAACAATTTATAAATATAATTTTTAATATTATCAATTAGGTATTACCGTATTAGGTATTATGCTTTAATTCGAAAACATTATATTGTCATACTTGAAAAAAATGTACATACCTTTTTCGCATTTTTCGCCGTCTTCATGGAATTCATTCCTGTCCTTATTATCATTTTCCAATTGCAAAATCATGATTTGGGTAGTCCTGGCTTCCCAATACACACAATACACATATTATACACAAATATTTTATTTCCAAGAAATTATTACAATAATATTATGTTATTCAAATGCCAACAGTATTTACTGTTAAACAATCTAACAAAAGTATGCAATATAATATACAATAAATCCATGTGGTTTTTATGTATATTATAATAACACGACAATAGTTTATTAATATATAATATTATAGTATACATAATATCATTATTGTGTGTAGGGAGGTAGGGAGTGGTAGATATAAATGTCTATATTTATATTACATTTTAATTTTTAATTAACAACTATACAGCGCAATACGCATGCCATTCGGTCGGTACTATTGTATAAAACAAAAATAAATTACCTACTTGTTTTCGAAAGGCATATTTTTACACAACCTAAATTACTGTAGGTATACAGTGGTCATAATAATCACGTGGAGATGCATGAAGACTCTTACGAAAAGTTGTCGGTCCATTCATCGGTAGCCACGACTATAATATTATTATAATATTATAATAATCCAGGAGTGTATCATCACCACTGCTCTTTACAATCTGTTGATATTATAGTAACGTAACAAGCCAACCGTTTAACCGAACGGTATAATATATAATTATAAAACCACAATCACTCGTATATCATTATTCATTACATGTCATGTGACAATACATCAATAACAAACATTCGACGATACCTCTACAATATATTATTTATAATATCATCATTCAGAGCGTCCAATGACTTTACTTCCAGTTATCGGATCAATATTACGTAATTATAATAATTATTAATATGAGATATTACAACAGTGGCTTCAAAACATTTCTGACACGAAACACTTTTATTCAAAACCACTATATTACACATTGAATTATAGTATTATTATTTATAATTTAATAGGCATTAGGCATATATTTAGATCAGTTTTTTACACAGCATCGAAAACATAATATTATATAAGCGCAGCACGCAGCGTCGCCTTATAAACTGAAAAACTACAAACGTATTATAATATGTGTATTAAATTTAAATAACAACTATAGCTTGGTAGGTACCCTACCTAATTCAGAGTGATGCGTTATTATAACACCGCCACCCCCCGTCAACGTATAACGTATAATTTTAAAAATACTATACTACATCGTACGATTAAAATTATTATTCTAATTATTAAATATAATTTGTAGTCCTTAATTAGTGGTACGACTTTAAATAAAACTGCATTTGATGAAACGTGTGTTGTACATAAATCCAAACCTGAGAAAATTAATTTCCAATAATTTCAAAATAGTTGTGGAATAGCCTATGGAAATAAAACAATTGCTTTTCTAAATTCGCAATTGTGTGGAATACTTACTCAGGGCCGTATTGCAGTTTGGAGGCGCCTCTGGCGAATCACTGCATTTGAGTTCCCCCCCCCCAAAAAAAAAAAATTATTTTAAATATATAAAACATGTAACAATACATAGAATATTTCAAGTAATAACTAATAACCTTTAATAATTTATATTAATGTATTTAAATTACTTCAACAGGTACATAAACAATTACTACATTATAAAAATAATAGAAATCTTTAAATAAATACTCTTTAATATAACTTAAATTGAGGCACCTGGTGCCGATTCCATTTTGTCCTCAAAAAAACACTCTGCGGAATGCGGGAATAACGATACCGCATTGTAAATATTATTTTCAAGTTTGATAAAATTATGGGCATTTTGGAAAACCGGCACCGGGACCCTTAATTTAATTCAACTATTCTTCTTAAATATTATAGTTGGTACGAGTGCGATTGCTTAATAGCTAGAAAAATGAATTACCATAATGTTGTACTCACGTAAATTTTACGTCTACGAAACTACGTCGACACTCGGTAGTAATTCGACAGAAATTAAAACCGTTGTACTTCGAGTGTACTAGACAATAATAATTTGTTGACGGCTTTATTTTAAGAAAGAATATAATAATGCAATAGAAATAAGTCGATAATACGACTGGCCCGACGGGCGATGGCCGTCATCACAAAACGATAATACTATTGTCTTTTTTAAGAACTACGTAGTTCACCGTTTAATAGATGTCATTAGTCAAATAACATTTTGCTAATGCTTAATATCTGAATAACAGAAAACGTATATTTTGGATACGTACAGTAGTCAATAATTATACATAGGTACATACCTAATCTATTTTATGAGAATATGATTCACATATCAATATTAAATCATACGCCTGCGTAGAAATATAATACAAACCGGTCAAAACTCTCGCATGCATTTCCACCACAGGCATCAACATAAATAATTTTTATATAATAATAATAGAGCGAGGCTCTTCTATAGTAAGTCATTAAAATAAATATACATTTTTCAAATATTAAGTTAAAAATATGGCAGGAATACGATTGAGAACGGTCATTATTGGCGATACCTTTCTTAGACCCTTTTGACTATTACGATTGAGAACGCTCAGTTTTTATTTTTCCGCCCAACGTTGCCAAACTTTGCCATATAATAATCGGCTATGGCTATAGCCTATATAAATATATATGACTCTTAGCACTGCTCACACACTATGTGGCAGGAATAAACGTCTTTAAAACTCAATACTATTCAACAGGGTACTCTTCAAAAGGCATCAAAAGCAGATGAAGAAAAAATTTCAAAAACAATACAGTCTTATATTAACTACTGTCAAAAAAAATCTTCTGAAGGATTAGTAAAATATTTAACACATATGGGAAATTTATATAGGGGAATTAAATTGTAAATTATTTTTAAATGTTTGTATTATTGGTACCTACCAATAATACAAATTTTTTTAAAAACTATGACATTTTTAAAATTTATAATTTTTAATTATTTTATTCAATGTTTTATTTCATTTTTATTTTGACTTGAATATAGTTCGGCAACGTTGCACTTAATTTCGTTCTCAATAGTACTGTTTTATTGGGTCAGCGGTTATTTCATTGTTCCATTTGGAGTGATCTCAATCGTACGCTAAAAAAGGTCGAACGTTCTCAATCGTATTACAGCCAAAAATATTACATAAGTAGTATTGAAATTTGCGCCCCTCTTAGAACTCTAAGAATTGCGCCCCTGGCCCATGCCCTCTTGCCCTGCTCTGAATACGGCAATGAAAGTACATTTCTATAAACAATGCAAATAGCCAATAGGTTATAATTTATACCTAATAATGGCTAATATAAAGTGGATTTGAAAACAATTCAGCTTATAACAATTAAACCATTAAGACCCTGCTGAAAAACTATATTTTTCATTTTAATTAATCTCTTATTATAGTCATTACAAAATTGGTTAGAATACAATATTGCTGCGTACAAATAGGGTTCAAGGTCCCATCATTAATTTTTATCGGTAAAACTGAAGTAGATGTCAGTCACATTATTATTTTTTCTCTCTGACCCACGCACAAAATAGACAAACTGCAAAATCGTTTTATTTTTATTAATCTTAGAGTAAAACCACTGATGTCGGGTCCTAATGCTTCTAATATTACTATTAATATCTAAGATAAATATTACTATAGATAGTATAGATATTATGACTATCGACGACGCACGAGTCGCACGACGCGGACGGTCCGTCATTATCTCAATTACCTAGTAATAGACAATAGTGTAATACCTATTTCATATAAATTGTGAACACCTATTTTTATTTATACGCCTAGCCTGCAATTTTCATTTTTGTTTTATCCCGTGTTGCGCTGTTGGGTTTTAGTTGATACATTGATCAAATAAATTCGTATGAGTGCCGTACCAAAAAACAATTTCGGGGGGGGGGGGGGGGGTAAGTGTAGCTAGGTGAGGTTTGCAATGGGTACTCAGATGACGAAGTAGGCACTCAATGGTTATGATTTATGAACATTAAAACAGGATTGTTTTACAAACTAATAACAATATAACACTAGATAATCATACGAATTTATATTTTGTTGATTTTATTCAATTTTTATAGGCACATATTATTATTTTTGTTTACCATTTCTATTTTAAGAGTTTTAAAAATGTTTTGTATGCAATTGAATAATAAAAAATATTAATAGTATAGAGCAATTATTGTTTCTAACAAATAAATGGTTTTCATAAAAAATGATTCAAAATTGATAAAGTTTTAAGTTTAATATTTAGAAATTGAGTTGTATTTAAATGTTTAGAATTTTGAGCTCTTATAACTAACTAGTTGGTATAAATGTTTGTATATTTTCAAATGAAGCTCCTGTTATAGAAGCCATTTAGGCCCCAAAATTGTTTGTACTACGACGGTTTGTCGACAATTTGTGTTAATAATAGTACGAACAATTTATATTTGTGCTGAAATACTCACGGTTGAATCTCATAATCGTTTTTCGCATTCAATGGTTTAACATTAAATTCAAATTTAATACATTCATTACAGTGGCCAACTACTATACAGCAGATTGATCTCCTCGTTTTTAATTATGTTGTATTTTGTATTATTTAGGATGGAAAATTATAACATATTGTAGTCTAATTGAAGCCAGTTAAGAACGATTGTCCAACAAATATAAATCATGACGATGAATGTATCAACTGAAACAGGGATTATATGAATTATTCAAGTAAACTAGTAAATTACTCAGATACCTAGTAAGTATATTTAGTGAACATTATTATTTCATTATGATTTTTCCGCTCCGATATAGATGATTTTTATTTACATTATTTAAAAAAAAAAAATACATTGCTGGTCATGGCCATGGTATAATGGTAGGTATATCCCATATATCCCATTATCCTTATATTTGACCACCTCTGAGCCAAATAGCCGATAGGTACCTACTACATTATTGTCATTTGCCATCTTTAACTAATTTCTTTAGGTGAGAGGGATCAAAAATGTTATTCAAATTTTAATATTGGTGTAATACGAGACCTAAAGTTAATAATATAAATTATAAACCTTAACCGTTTTTGAATAAGACGATTTTCAATAGTTTTAGATTCTGAGCGGAACGATGAATGTATTGATCTTAACACAATGATGTGTGTTTTTTTGTTGTGTCTGTCATCATATTTTAGGACGGTAAAAGTGCTTAGATTTTCTTCAACAGTATCTTTTCTGATAGAAAAGTGAATCTAGTTGGTGCATTCGGGAGGTCAAATTTTAAATTTCCCAGAAGTTTTCAAAAGCACCGTGAAAAACAAAAGAAAAATTAAGGAAAAACTGAAATTTATAAAATAATCAAATTTTATAGCTAAGGATTAAAAATGTTAAACAAAGTTCCACGTAAGTAGTTAATTCTGTTACCAACAAATCTAAAAAAATACATAAACACAGTTTATTTTTATAGTTATTTTAAGTTTAAATTTGGATGAAGTTATATATTAAA